TCTCCAGTCCGCTTTCATCAGTTTCAAATTTCGTATTGTGTGTTTGTGTTCTCCTCGTAAAATGTGTTTCCTAAGAAGAGATCTTCTAGACTTCATGATCCAATCGTCCCATACACAGCTACTGGTGCAACACATCCACCTCGATCATCACGCCTTTGCAGCAAGTTCAGCTATGAGGATATCAGAGAGGTCCACAAAAGAAGGTCAGATTTTCAGAGCGAACTTCCAACGTGGTTGTCTCCTTTTGAGTGTTAGGAGTGGCTGGTAGGATTCCTTTAGAGGAATCCTGTGATGTGGGTATACGGGATTTCTTGGGATTATCGGTAGTGGTGTATTATTTACACTGACTTGTAAATCGGCTGCCCACGTGAAGCACTGTAGGCCACATCGCTTGGTCAAAGGCGGAACCATCCTCTACTTTTATCTGAGGTGACCGAGGTTGTAGAAATCCTGTACCTCCTATTCGAGTTTTGGGTCAATTACACAGCCTTTTCGAAAAAGTCCACCTAGCTCTCCCTTTCTCAGGCTCTATTTACTTCCATATTCACCTTTGTCCACTATCTTACAGAAGCAATTGGGATTCCTTCAGTGCTGCATACTACAGTGAAAAGCATCTGTTATAGGATATCTCCTCCAGCCCATCGCTCTAGAAGTGTTCAGTGCTGACGGCCGAAATTACCTGCTGGCGTTCCCGAAGAAGATGAGGGATCGAGTGTACGAGAAGTAAGTTGTCTTACTGAAGCGTTCTGAGTTTCATCGTGAAAATTAATTTTAATAGGCTTCTATCAATGGCGAAGGGGTTGACGGCTGGCGGCACAGACTCCGTCGGTGGTCAGAAGGCAACAATGGCAATTGAACAAAGTGGGAGAGCATCACTGCTGAATTCAATTATTGGTGAGTCCCTCTACTAAAGTCTATTACGAGATGGTTACAAAACAGCCGTGGTGCTAGTTTAGTGGATTCCCCTGTATCTCTTTACTGCATCTCTGCCACATACAAGACGTAGTTATACGTAATCTTTCACTGCGAGCTCTTATTCCGAACATCAGGTGAATACTGTGGAAACTTGGGGTGGTTAAATGCAGGACAATCAGTCTGAAAGCTTGAATTCGAGCAGTATTCCTTCGGTGCTGAGCTGGTTATCAGTGGGCAAGTATTCTGGCGTATGCGGTGCGATACTACATAGAATTCCAGTACGTACAGTAGCACGTTTGCCGCTTTCGAAACGTGTTCAAATATTCCCGAGATCATTCATGGGAGTCGAAAGTCTGTGTGGGAAAAGTAATGTGGACCGCTGTAACGTGGACAAACTCGTACTAGTTTCCCATCAAACGCTGTAAGCGGCGGGCGCTAGGGCGCTAGGCTGTTAAAGTAACTCCACCTAGGCGTCAAGGCGTCAATGACTCCCCCTTGTTTGGTAGCTGCCTACTTTCTCGTTACTCTGG